TGCTTCTGTGAAGATTGACAGCCTGGGAGACCCTGTGGGCAGTTCCACTCTGTCCTCTAGGGGCGCTGTGGGTCAGAATGGACTCCAGGGCAGTGGGTGTGGTTTAGGCTTTGCTTCTGTGAAGATTGACAGCCTGGGAGACCCTGTGGGACAGTTCCACTCTGTCCTCTAGAGGCGCTGTGGGTCGGAATGGACTCATAGGCACCTAACAAGACCTTTGGCGTGTGTCAAGCTGCCACCTCGTGGAGAGCGGGTCAAACGGGTGGAAACACAGTCTTCAGAGAAAGATCAAGAGAGAGATCCGGAGGAGTTCCAAAAACAAACCAAACTCACAGCCATCAAGTCCGTCCTGACTCATGGGACACCCATCGAATTTCCAAAGCTGTCCATCTTTATGGAAGCCGACTGCCTCATCTTTCTTCCACGGAGCAGCTGGTGGGTTTGAACCACCGACCTTTTTGGCTAGCAGCCAAAGGCCTTAACCACTACACCACCAGAGCTCCTTCAGAGGAGGACAGACATCCCAAAAGAGAGAGGCAGAAACCTAGAAGATAGCGACTGAGCTCCAGAGAGAAGGGGGTCTGGGCCCAGAGTGAGAGAGACGGAGACTGGAGGGAGGCCAGGGACAGGGAGGAAGGGGGACAGAGACCCAGAAAGGGGAGAGAGATGTAAAGAATGAGGGCTTGTGAAGACTGGGGTGGGGCAGGGCTGTGGGGGCGCAGAGGAGGGGCGGAAACGCGGTGGACAGCGCCTCCACCTCCCGGCCCACCTCCCCCGGACAATCCCAGTGGCCCCCATCTGGTCTCCTGCTTCCATCTGTGTTGCCCTGTCACAGTCACTGCCAGTTCTCACGTCAGCGGACCCTCGTCACCGGGCCAATCGGGCGTTCTCTTTAAAATCCGCTCTCGGCCCTGTCCGGCCGCATCTCCTTGCTATTAAAGGCCAGACTCCTTCCCACGGCAGCTGGCCAGAGCCTGCCTAAGGCGGCCCTCCTCTCACCTGCCTGAACTCAACTCCCGCGCCACCTCCTCCTCATACCGGCCTCTCGTTGCCTACAACCACCTCGACCTCCTTCCTGCCTCAGGGCCTGTCCAGAAAGCTGGCGGCTTGCCCAGGGGCCTGGCCAACTCCTTCATTCATACCTTTCATGTCTTGTCTACATCCAGGCCACCTCCTCAGAGAGGCCGTTACAGCCCCCTCCATTGAACAAAGGTCCTGCCTATTATTTGGTCTCATAGGAATTCGTGAACTGTGGCCCACAGGCCACCTCCAGCCCAACGCCTGTTTTTATGAATAAAGCTTTATTGGAACAGTCTCACCAGCTGGTTTTGTATCATCTCTGGCTGCTTTTGTGCTACAATGGCGGAGTTGAGCGGTTGGCCCAAAAGCTGAAAATACCACCCAGACCTTTACAGAAATTAATGCTTTCAAGACCAAACTATTTTCTGCTTTGAACTTTTTGTTGAAACCATGTGTTTTCAGTAATGGAATGCATTTTGAATAAATGAGATAATATGGCTTTTGATACCATTAATGGGACACATATGTCCCAAGGGGCCTCTGGTATTTGATTTGGTGGGAAAAGGCCTGTTTCTTGATTCATGCACTTGTATAGGCCCCCCACCAGATGGCAGCATGCACTGAAAGTGGGATACAGCTTCCCATTAAACCCCAGAGGTGGGAAATGTAGGTGGGCACGATATGTCCCATGGGTCACGAAGGGGTTGATTTGCTTGTTGACTATGTTATCCCTCATTCCACTCTGAGCTACAAGAGGCAGAAAGTTCCCATCTGATCTCCCTGCTGTGCGTTTGATGCTGACCTACGGGACCCCGCGTGTTCCTGTATTAGAGTGGAATGTGCTCCTTAGGCTCTCTTGGCTATACTACTCACAGAAACAGAGTGCCAAAACTTTTCTCCACGGCGCTTTCGGGTGGGTTTGATCCGCCAAACTTTAGTAGTTGAGCACAAACCATTTGTGCAGGCCCGGGACGCATTCCTAGTCTCTAGTACTTAAACATTTTAAAATCGATTTTGACTCAGGGAAAGGGGTCACAGAGCAAGAACTCAAGACTCTTGGAGAGGGGCTGTCCCACCGCCTCGCCCTCCCCCGCGACCCAGAGGGTCACTGACCGCTGCAGGGTGAGTAGCAGGCAGAGGAGGCCAGTGGCGAAGACTGCACACAGGTAGGTGACCGCCAGGTGCGGGCGGGGCGGGTAGAATCCATAGAAGAGAGGGGACCATGCCAGGTAACCCTGGGGAGGAAAGGCCGACAGGGGTCGCTGTGGGGCTGGGCGCTGGGCCTGGGTGGAGGCGGGGGCCCATCAGGCTCTGGGGGTCATGATCCGGGTCATGGAGGGCACCTGGGCTCACAGCTGGGCGGGGTCTCTCGCAGGGACGCCGCCACGCACCTCTCCCGAGAGCAAGTTGAAGAGCTGGCTGGAGAAGGTGATCAGGCCCTGGGGGTTCGGGTTGTAGGAGCCGCAGGGCGAGGAGATGTCAGGGCTGGGGGGCCCCGGGGGCGGCCCTTCCAACCAGGTGGGCAGCAGCGTCATGCAGGCCTGTAGCACGGCGGCCAGCACGTTGAGAAACAGCAAAAAACGCAGCAGGGAGAAGTAGGACTCTGTGCCGGCCCCGAACTGGCCTGCAGGGGGCAGCAGAGACCAGCCTTAGGCTCCTTCTCGGGTTCCAGCCCCGCCCCTCCTCCCTGCCCAGGCCCCGCCCCTCCGCCCGGCCGGCTCCCAGGCCCCGCCCCTCCGCCCGGCCGGCTCCCAGGCCCCGCCCCGCCGCCAGGCCTGCTCCCAGTCCCATCGCACCCCCAATCTTCTTCAGCGTCCAGGCCCAGGGCTGCAGGGTACGCCAATTTTCTTCCATCTTCTCCCTGGACCTCCGAAGCATCCGGGCCCAGTTCGCCGCCCTGGACCCTGAGCCACGGGCCACTTGGTCCCGAGCAACGCTCTTCCTGGAAGGGAAACAGAGTCAGGTGCAGGGCTTCCAGTTGCCTGGCGATTCAGACTCACAGCGAAACTATGAGCCGCAGAGCAGAGCTCGCAGGGCCGAACGTGGGGTTTCCAATGGCGTATGTCTCAGAAGGAGCCGCCCAGGCCGCTCTTCAGAGGCTCCTCTGGATGGACTCACTGCTCCAACTTTTCGGTCAGCAGCTGAGAGGGTAAACCCTTTGCACACCCCGGGGGCCCTGGGAAGGGCTTAGCAGCCCCGCGCTGGGAAAGAAAGCCAAAGGCCCAGGTTAGTGAACGGCAGTATGTTCACCTCGTGGACGGCTGTGAAGTAACTAAAGGAATGGACCTGGCGCTGCCCACGAGGAGTCCTGCTGGCACAACGCATAAGCACTTAGCTGGTAACCAAAAGTTTGCAAGTTTGAACCCCCTCAGTAGCTCTGCGGGGGAAAGACCTGGCAGTAGGCGTCTGTAAAGATGAAAACCAAACTCACTGCCTTCAAGTTGGTCCCGACTCATAGCGACCCCTGTTGGGTTTCCCAGGCAGTAAATCTTTATGGAAGTAGATTGCCCAGTCTTCCTTCCAAAGAGTGGCTGGTGGGTTTGAACCGCCAGCCTTCTGCTTAGCAGTCAGATGCCTTAGGCACTGTGCCACCAGAGCTCAACCCTGTGCAGCTGTTCTACTCTGTAACACATGGTCGTTATGAATTGGAATCGACTCTATGGCACACAACAAAAACAACCACAAGAAGCCAGGCAAAAAACCCAAAACCTAAAACCCACTGCAATTGATTCTGACTCCAGAACCCCTAGAGGACAGAGTGGAACTGCCCACAGGGTCTCCAAGGCTGTCAATCTTCACAGAAGCAAAGCCCAAACCACACCCACTGCCGTGGAGTCCATTCT